AAAATGCAAAAATCCTGATTTTCGTATAGAATTTATAGTCTTTTTGCCCTGTTGTACCGCCATCTTGGATTTATCATGTAGGCCCCACCTGCGCTAGGTATGCGTTAGCAATCTAGATCTCCTATATCTATGAGTGGGTGGCAGTGGTGGGTGGTCATCCTCACTGATCTCAAAAATATGGCGGACTGTCATGAATAGCGGACACTGATTGGTCCAATTTAAAGTTTGCATTATAACGACTGCATGACGACAGCGAAATAGCAAACATTTCTTGATTTGATGATTGATAAATTTCTTGCAAATATATTTCATTTTTGCTCGCATTTTTGCAAGATTTTGTAAATTTCAAAAGCTCTCTCAGAAAGAAACTGCGAAAGAATCAGCTAAAAGAAGGGAGCCGACGTTAACGAAGGTAACTTTGTTTTAAATATTGATTTTATAATGGCTTTAAAACCCGACTGCCTTTGCATATATGAAACAACTATTAAAACAAGACAGCATATAATTTCAGTGTATCTTTAATATTGATTCCCTTTTTTATGATATTGAATTTTTTAAATAAAAAAGAAAGCAAAGTTATTTGCAAGCGAGAATTTGAAATCATTTTATTGCAAACTCAAAGTTTATCGATAAAGCCATTTTAAAAGGCCGTTTAGTTTTATAAAGAACACTAGTGACTTTAAAACGTTTTGCGAAGCGTTTGTGGTTGAATTTTACCTTAAATTGAGGCTTATATTACGTATAATAACATACCTAACATATATATGTTGGGAAATTTTATAATTTTGTAATTAAAAGTGATATTTTTGGGCGATTTTTCATTTGTAAGAATATTCTTAAAAAATTATCGTTTACCATGACAACTACTTTAGATACTTCATCTTCGGAAAATACAATTGTTTTGTCAGCAACGCGAGGGTTATTGCATGCATGTATTTTCTAGTATAGTGTAATGGCCAAACCTCTTTTCTCGTAGATACTCTTCAAAGATCGCTTTGGTTCGTTTTGTAGATGTTTTGTGTTTTTTTTAGTCTTTCTCTTGCAGCAATGTTTCTAATTTTAGCTTCCCCTAGGTCTGCGAACCTTCCTTTGTGGAAGCCATTTGTATTTTAAGGCTATCAGTAAAACACGGAGTACACGGAGCACGGAGCACATGGAGCATGGAGCACACGAAGTACGGAGCAGTAGAAAAACAAAAATCCTTTATAATAAAATACACTGTTTACTATTACAAAATTTTGTTATTATTAATAAAGATTTTTCGCGAATTTACACGTTGGGGAAGTAGGAAAATGGGGCTTTTACTGAAAAACACATATGACGCAAAACTGCCAAAAACCATAGTATTTAAAATAGGATTGTGAAACTCGTTATCTTACATCTATCAAGCTTATGTAGTTATATTATATTCCGATGGCCAACGCATAAAGAAACACTTACTGTGGAGAACAGCCGATATATTTCGTTACCCCTGCCAAAAATAGCCAAGTACAGAAGTACTCAGAGATCTTTCAATGTAGCGGATCGACTGAACATTAAAGCTTGTGATGGAGAGAAGTGAATTTTCGGTTTATCTTCGGCTCAGTGGCAGTGACAGTGTGCTGTACGGCCTACGTTTAAACCGTTATACAGTACATAATTACTGCTTTGAATTCAATCCGTTTTGAATATTTGGAATCATTCACAATATTATACTGTAGACGATCCGAAAACCTATTCACCCCCCACCCCTTAACTAAACATACAATTCGGTGTAAGGTTTAAAAATTGACGTGTATTATACTATTATTCTATATATAATTTAGGTAAAACTCTAGTAAAAGAAAAGCCGTACAGCTGCATATGACATTACGGTTAAAAAATTAGAACGCTGACTTTTTCGCGTTCTCTTTTTTTTGTCGTAAACAACTCCATATACGGAAGTTTGTTCCATATATGGAGAAAGACGTGGAAACAGATTTTTAAAAATGCTGATTATAAAAAATTTACGAAAATCTTTATAGAGGTATAAATTGTTCACAAATGGCTATTAGTAAAACACGGAGCACGGAGCACACGGAGCACGGAGCACACGGAGCACACGGAGCACACGGAGTACGGAGCACACGGAGCACGGAGCACACGAAGTACGGAGCAGTAGAAAAACGAAAATCCTTTATAATAAAATACACTGTTTACTATTACAAATTTTTGTTATTATTAACAAAGTTTTTTCGCGTATTACACGTTGGAGAAGTGGGAAAATGGGGCTTTTACTGAAAAACACATATGATGCAAAACCAGGCTGTCAAAAGCCATAGTATTTAAAATGGGATTGTGAAACTCGTTATCTTACATCTATCAAGCTTATGTAGTAATATTATATTACGATGGGCAACATGCACATAAAGAAAAACTTACTGTAGAGAACAGCCGATATATTTCGTTACCCCTGCCAGAAAATAGCCAAGTACATTCATCTTTCAATGTAGCGGATCGACTGAACATTAAATCTTGTGATGAGAAAAGTGAATTTTCGGTTTATCCTTCGGCTCAATGACCGGTGGCAGTTAGCTGTACGGCCGGCTAAGTTTAAACCGTTATAATATACAGTACATCATTACTGCTTTCATTCTTTCAATTCGTTTTGAATATTCGGAATCATTCACAATATTATAAAACTGTATAAGGTGGCTGTAGAACTATAAATGCTGTAGAATGAAATAAATAAAGAAAAGTAAGTTTTCAAATCGCGGTATTTGCCGATAAATCGGTAATCGCTACAGAAAAACAGAACAAATTACAGTATTAAAATCACAACAAACTGCGGAAGTGGGACAATTTTTGTATTTTTACTGTAAGACATGTAGAACATGTACGAAATCCATACAGAAGTGTGTGTGTATTCTATACTTTTGAAACAACTAAATCAGACTTCGGAAAATTTGATCGTATTAAAGCTGCTTTTGGGAATTTAGATTTTAGGTCTTCGTTTTACATGTACCTACCCTGCGAGCAGAGCCTTATTTTCGTTTCTACCCAGACCAGTAAATATTTTTGAGTTTTGAATTTTGTGTATAAATCAACACCAACGCCTCAAAGGCGAAAAGGAGGGCAAGATTGTTATAATTGCTATTGTAAACATGAGCCGTTTCGAGCATAAACATAAAATTGAAACGAGTAATTTTTACACATCTGATTGACTAAATTCAGGAAGCCATTTAAGTGTACGCGTATTTGTTACAATTCCGATCAACTCTGCCGTGCTGTACGGCAGAGCCAGAGGCAGAGTAAATTGTAAACAAATTGTAAGCTTGTGAGAATCAAAGTTCAAAACTCAAAAATATTTACTGGGTACATGCATGTAAAACAAAGACCTAAAATCTAAATTCTCAAAAGTAGCTTTAATACTATCAAATTTTCCGAAGTCTGATTTAGTTGTTTCAAAAGTATAGAACTGATACACACACACTTCTGTATGGATTTCGTACATGTTCTGCATGTCTTACAGTAAAAATACAAAAATTGTCCCACTTCCGCGGTTTGTTGTGATTTACTGTAATTTGTTCTGTTTTTCTGTAGCGGTTACCGATTTGTCGGCAAATACCGCGATAAAACGTAGTTTCTTTATTTATTTTATTCTACAGCATTTATAGTTCTACAGCTATCTTATACAGTTTTATAATATAATAGTGAATGATTCCGAATATTCAAAACGGATTGAAAGAATGAAAGCAGTAATTATGTATAACGGTTTAAACGTAGGCCGTA